CTGCATTACAGGAGACCAGGAGCCTGGCGTGATCCAGGTAAGAGCGCAAACCATTGCAAAATGGTTTGCCCTCTTACTGAGAAACAGGGTCACGGTACTCCTCACATTATAGCCACTACAACATGCTGTGGTGTTTGTAATGGTTGTACTAACCATATAAGAGTACATGTGTTATACTTTCATCATGATTTCGCTCTGTAGATTAAACTTTTGGTCTGATGTATATAGTTGCAATGCCATCTACAGGTCATTTGTATTAATACTGCTTATGTGACTGCATCATTGGTACTGTTTAAGCGATTTTACATGGTTTATCTGCCTAATTTTTGTATTATACAAAATACTATTCATTCCTGGTTTTCATATATTTGAAACACTCATATTTCTATTTTGCTTCACTAATTGTATGTAACTATGTCATTTGGATTGTGGTTAACAGGTCAGTAGTTAAATATTGTACCTTTCTTTGGATTCTCAGTAATGGTTCTTGCTTATTAATCTAATCATCCTTTTTTCTGGCCTATTGTACTCCGCCATGGTGGATTTAAGTACTTTGACCCAGCTGTGCAAATATGGACTTTACTTAGTTGGTTAACCTCTTGGTAACCTTCTAGCAGATTTGAAATGATTCTGATGAAGTGCACTGCTTCCATGGACAGTAGTCCCTGGATAGTTACACTATATGGCCAAAAGTATGAGGACATCCCCTACCAATTATTAAATCCGGGTGTTTCAGCCTCACCTATTGTGAACAGGTGCATAAAATGCAGCACAAATCTCCAAAGACAAACATGGGCAATTCAATGAGTTGGAGAACCAAAGAGCTCAGGAACTTTCAACATAACAATGGTGTCATCTGTGCCGCACGCAGTTGAGAAATTTGACTACTACATCTGCCTTGGTCAAATGCAAGTACCTGTTATTTTGAAGTGGCACCATGTAGAAGCACCAACAGTCCAGCAATAAAGTGGAGAACCACACATACTTTAAGAGTGGGGGCACTGAGTGCTGAAGATGATCTCATGCAAACATTGCATGTCCTCTGTTACATTACTCACTACAGAATGCCATGCCTCACTACAGAACACCTTGGAATTAGTTGCAATGCTTATTGCGAACCAGACTTTGTCATCCAACATCAGTGCCTGACCTCACAAATGCTGAATGTCAGTGGATGTTCCGACTAAACTCCGCTGGTGGCAGATACACATTTGCGCCAGGGATGGGCAAGCTAAGTTTGGCCCACACCTGTACTTAATGCTGGAATCGGGAATGGGACCTTGGTCCCAGCTACTTTCAACTTCACCAAAGACATCTATCAATTCTGTTTTCAGATCAAAGTTGACTGAGGATTTGTTCTCCAGACATTGGAGAGATACCAGTGACTGGATGCTGGACAAAACAATTTTTACTCAGATAGTGGAACTATCTGCGTAAGAGTGACAGCGCCGGTATAGGCCATCTAAGTTCTGATTGATGTTCGTCAGGAGTTGTGGTGTTTTATACCACAGTGACAGAACCTTAAATGCTGCTTTTGTGTCTTGCTCGCCAGGGTACATTGGTGAACCCGGTCACATCTTTTTCCACTGATTTGGTGTCAAGGTTTTTCTAATGGCAGTTTCCCATTTACCAATAAAGGGAGAGGGCAGTAGCTTCCTGTCGAGCTGAAGTGTAGAATATAAAAGTGAGATTGCTTGTGGCATCGGTGTGACAGGATAGGGAGGGAATGCATTGGCTATCCAGGTATCCAAAACAACAGCTGTAAGCGCCCCACATATCCCAACTAGGTCGTAAAGGATGGAGAGAGTATCCCTTGTGTGGTGTGAGTGTGTGCTCAGACTACTCTGTTTCTGAGTCTTAAGTTGTTGTGCCAGCCTTGGTTATCCAGGTCCTCCACATGGAGGACCATCGTCCGAATATGTTCTGACTGTAGCTGTGGTAGCCTACACTGTTGGGCTCTCGGTTCTCTGTGACAGGGAGGCCAAGGTGGGTAGGCACTGCTGTAGGGAGGCAGTCAGGATCCCCTTCTGTGGAGCCCAAAGGGACCCTGGGATCGAGAATTCTTCACCATCATATGGGTAAGTAAGGTGCTGGGCAGGAAAGGGGCTCATTTTAGTCATGAGGTGCCACAGACCAAAAGACTAGGCCAACTTGTCTGAGTACACGCCACCACGTTCCCTGCAAGAACGGCAATGTTTACATTGCACTGTTTAAATGCCTCTAGTGGCTGTCACTTCCCACTAAATAGTTAAACTTATAGAGACCATCAGATTGGCACAGTTCGGTGTTTTGCTCTACATGCGCACTAGCATTGCATTGGCTAAGATGATTGAGCTCTATGATTTCAACCAAGGAAGCATGCCAGCAGCATGGAGACACGCGCAGCGAGGACTAAAAGATAAGTAAAACTCACCCTTCGAGACCATTTGGCAAGTGGGAAATGAATAGAGTTACATAAAAACTAAATGCTTTTTATTCCTAATGCTATATATAGTGTTCCTTTAAAGGGATACTATAGTGCCAGGAATACAAAGCTGTATTCCTGGCACTATCACTAAAAACCCTTCATTTACTTAACGTATCGATGCTCCACCCCCTCTGACAGCCCGTGATAAGCGGGTGCTAATGTGAATGCGCGGCAAATGCCAAAGGCGCATTACACCTTCTCATAGGAAAGCAATGAATCATTGCTTTCCTATGGGGAAAAATCTGATCCTGGATGTCTTCATGCAGAGCGTGAGGAAGTCCAGCATCAGATACCGGACCAAAAGCCTGTTTCAATCCAGCAACCCCTCTAGTGGCTGTCTGATAGCCAGCCACTAGAGGCTGACTTAGTTCTGCAATGTAAACATTGCAGTTTCTCTGGAACTGCAGTGTGTAACATTGCAGCACTAGGTGCAAAAGGTACACTGCACCCAGATCACTTCAATGCGCTGAAGTGATCTGGGTGCCTACAGTGTCCCCTTAAGGTTCCTACAAACACACTTTTGAAAACAGTTCTCCAGCTGGGAAGACTGCTCCTGTAAATTGCATTCTTCAGTTGCAACTTTTACATACTTGCTACAAAGTATTTAAAGAGGTTTGTCTTTTCAGTTTGAAACATAGTAACACTTTACTTGTATTGTTTGAAAATGTTTTAAATTTACTGAATCTATGGAAATCCTGAAAGTTTAGAAAGGAAAACTATGGCACACTGTTTAAATGTCTATATTTCACGAAGGACAAAACATTAGTGAATAGCCATCAGTTAGCAACATATACTTTTGTTTGTGTGTATATTGTGTTGTACTACACTGCTTGCATTGTAATGTTTTGAAGACAGTCAAAGTTATTTACTAAAATGAGAAACGTCAGGAATTCAAAGTGAATTCAATCTAGAGAAAGTCAGCTACATTTTTAGATCCACTATTTTGGTCTAATATTTGAAATTCACTTTGAATTCACTACAATTCTCACTTGGTGACTAACCCTGTTGGAATCCTCATAATTTACAAATGTACCTTCAGATGCCTACTTGGTACTGTTTTCATACACATATGTTCCACATGCTGTTCTGAAGAATATCATGAAGTGTTGTCTAGCGACAAACACAAACTACATATTTCCAGACAAACCAATTGAAAGAGGCTCTGTCATTAAATCCCCAATGCTATCAATACCTCCCCCTAGACTAAAACTATCCCAACAACATTTACCTACATTATTTTAAGAAGTGTCCGTCTTGCTGGGTTTTCATCCTCATGGCACTACAATCTTAGCATTTCCAGTATGGTGGCTGCCAGAAATATCCATGCCTGCCTTTCCTTTGGCATAAAGAACAAATAATAGGGTGTGCCAAAAATTGAAAGTAAAGGCCAAATTGGGGGATAAGATGATAAAACAATAAAATATATATAGAAGAGTATAACAATATACAAGATAGGGCAAATAAAACCAATAAAACAGATACCCAGAGGGAAATAGTCCCCAAATTAAAGTCCTAGGTAGTTGTAGTAGGTATATTTAAGGTGGGAGTAGCCAAAGATTGTTTGTTCTTTTTACTGTTGTTTAAGAGTTTTTGGAGGGAATTTCCCTTTTTAGGTGTGGTGCCTTACACCATATTATCTAGCACTGCCCCACTCTCTTCTTCCTTTCCTCTGGCATGTCTGGTGAGGACCTCCAGCTTCTAAGAAAGCATGTCTACCTCAGCATCCCCCTAGTGTCATGACGCAACTCTGCCAGTAGTGATGTAATGCTGGAAGGTGGTGAGTACAGGTTGACCGTCAATGACAAAGTTGACAAAGAAAGCGGAGCTTGACCAAAGTTCCACCCTTTGTCAGCCTGAAGTCTCTATTTTTCCTTACGTATAACTTTTAAAATAATCCTGATTTATTTTTTTTAGTAAATAAAATCAGGGCTGCGCAGGAGAACTGATAGAACATTTTAAACAAGTAAATAAAAATTAAAATACAGTAAGTGGCAGAGCTGCTTTAATAAATCATAAAATGGATCCTACAGTAACAGGCATTGCGCTTGGAAATCACATACCAGAAAACCTCTCCCATTGATAAACGACAAGGAGTACTAGCATTGGGAAAATGTAGCGAATTCCTGGTTACTGCCAATCTGTCAAATAAAGGGACACTCCACTGCACAATTATGGTTAATCCTTGTTTAATAGATATTCCCCATGCATTCAGATGTGTTTTTTTCATTGGGGGTATATCTAAAAACTGCTTGCAAGAGCTGCAAATATCTTGTCTTGCAAGCCCTCCCCTTCTTCCCCTGCCAAGACTTTCTGTAGCTGTCCCATCACAGACTTCACAATGCAGTTCAAGGAGAAGTCCTTGCAAGGCAGGTGCTCTGGGTAATTGCTGCCATCTAAGTTTAGATCCACTGAGCTAACCAAACCAGGAAGTAACAGGATTGACAGCTGGGAGGGGTGGAGCCAGGTTAATTTACAAAAGTGTCAATTTCCATTGAAATATGCACTTTTTGAAACATTAAAAAGGAAACAAAATCAAACGGAAGCCCCCCATGCAACAAGAGGGTAAAAACCCAAGATGTAGACCACTCTGGTCCTAATATAAACAAAAGTACAATTGCTGTAAATAAGTTATGTAACCTACAATGTACCAAGCTACTAAACTCCAATGTAACCACAACGTTTGCTACCCCACCCTTTTTCTTTATTCTGTACCCCAACTTCTTTAAAATACTGAAAACCACCAAAATAAAGAATTAAAAAAAATAAATAAAAAAAGGGAAACGAAATAAGACACACTCTTCACACATAAAGCACTACAACAAGCTAACGTGCATTGTCCCTTTAAGGATATTCGGAGGTGACTACCCCTAATATGTGATTTTTCTTTACCTTAATTCTCTTCATTAGAATGTATTATCTCCAATCTGAAGAGTAATCTTAATGGGTTTACTCTTGCTGTTTGTGAATTCTATAGAATTAGCATTACTATTTTATTGCATATTATGGATTGGCAATCCAATTCATGGTAGTTCCACATGGGAACATGCCTCAGTGAACTTCAGATTTACAATTCAAACCTCACACCACAAAACGATGCAGTGTGCAAAGTAAACCCATGCACAACTTTTATTTGCTCCTCCCTGTTTTATAGGAGAAGGCAAGATCCCCCCCCCCCATCTTAATCCAGGTAAATCTTGTTCTGCCCTTACTAAAACTGACAGCCTATTCCATCGCCCTATCCTCTCTGCAATGTATGTCCCCTCCCCCTTTTCCTATTGCCAGTAACCAAGATGGCGGTAGCTGCGTCAAGCAGAAGCTGGCTGCCACTTGAGACGTGACCCTTGACCTGCTGGCATGGGGCGGGGAATGGTCCCCAACTAGCCGCCATATTGGCTGTTGTCCTGTCTAAGAGGTACAAGTCTGGCTTCTTTCCTTTTAGGATTAGTGTTGGCGTCGGTGAGGACAGGGTGTCTGAGCGATGACCAGGAGGAGGAACAAGCAGGCGCCTAGCCGCAAGGAGCGTGCAGCTGTCCAGCAGAGGCCATGCCAAGGCTCCCTGGCTCCTGATGGAGGAGAGATGGGCACAGCAGGACAGGTAAATGTGGCACACCTCCTGCCATGCCTGGCTATGGCTGCCCAGTGTGCATGCCTTGCCCCCAGCCCTCCCAGCCCCCCCAGGCACTGTGTACATACACTGTCCCCACCCAGAGTGCCTGTGTAATTACCATGCACCCTGCTGTCTCAACTTTCCATGTGCATGGAGCTTGGCAGGTGACATGCAGCTCCCACTCCCCCTGGGGATTCTCTCAGTGCTCACAGTGGATTTAGGGATTATACCCATTGTCAATGACACTTTCTCTACTTCTGTGTCGCTGTGTACTTTATTCTTGCTGTGACTGCTCCATCCATCCATCCTCTGGAAAAAGATTTATGGAGCTGTTGCATTTTTTGTTATTTATCTTTTACCTGTAAATTTAGTTTGCATATCAAAACATTAACGTGTGTTTATGCAGATAGCGATAATCTCTATCTCTGCTTCTTGTGTTTTTATTTATATATTCTACACAAGAAGCAGAGGGGGGAGGTGTGTGTGTGTGTGTGTGTGTGTGTGTGTGTGTGTGTGTGTATATATATATATATATATATATGTGTGTGTGTGTGTGTGTGTATATATATATATATATATCTCTTCTATGGGTGGTAAAATATAACTAAATATAAAGAAGACTAGAAGTGTGTTCAGGACTTCTAATTGTAACTTGTGACAGGTTACATAAAACATGCAGTAAATAAACTTTAACATAACTATAAAATGTGTTTCTATGCAAGTATATGTATGCAAATTAGCCAATAACCTCACAAACCGCACTGGTTGCATATTCTTTCTTTTTCATTTAATGTTATCCCCTTCAGTCTAAACCATGGGTCCTCAAACTCCGCCCCCCCCCCAGATGTTGTTGAACTACAACTCCCATGATTCTCTGGCTATCTATATAATTCAAAGAATCATGGGAGTTGTAGTTCAGCAACATCTGGGGGGGGGGGAGGCGGGGGCTGGAGTTTGAGGACTCCTGGTCTAAACTCTACTGTGCTGAGTAGTATTGCAGATTTTAAATTGGTTGTACATGGAACATAAACAGGCGCTGTTAATATCCTCTTCTTATTTTCCGTAGGACATTAGGGAAAACCAGCTTTAACAAATTTATAACAGAAATACGTTTCTTATTGCTACTTAATGTGAGTCTTTTTCCAGAAATAAAAGCTTACACCTGTTATCTTCCTCAGTCATCAGAATATCTGCAGCTCTTATCAAAGAAATGCATCAGCAGAGGACAGTAGTTTCACTCACGGATATTGCAATTAGAGACGTTCACATTGTTCGGGGGACCTAATTACTATTCCCTTAATTGATTTACCTGTAAAGTATAGCTGTTCATTGCTGCTTGCACTATTTTTCTGTCGGTGACCCAGGCATCAAAAAAATAAAAAAAATAAATATATATATATATATATATATATATATATATATATATATATATATATATATATATATATATATATATATATATATATATATATATATATATTCTCTCATTCATTTGCAGGTACAGATGAGACCTTGCTAAATCTGTCTGCCATATTCTCTTATGTCATACAAAATGCAATATAACATTTTTGAAAATATGTAAGATGGAAATGGGTATTACAAACTGAAATCATTAATACTGAAGTGAACAAAGCCATTAGACCAACTAAAATAAGAAAAATACAGACTGATTTCAAGCACCAAAATATCTGTATTGTTTTAATATGTGGAAAGATTCAGTATATGCAACAGAACTTGTTAACTTAGGCATAGTTTGTAATACCCATTTCCATCTTACATATTTTCAAAAATGTTATATTGCATTTTGTATGAAATAAGAGAATATGGCAGTTAGACAGATTTAGCAAGGTCTCATCTGTACCTGCAAATGAATGATATATATCAATAATATTAAGCTTGAGTGCAAGGATACTTTGGTTTTTGCAATATATGTGTGTGTGTATATATGTGACACTTTGTCCTGAGGAAGATCCCTGTGCGGACCGAAACGTAGATTTGTTCACTTGATGAATTAAAGAAAATTTTGAATGGGAAGACAGTCATTATTTGTGATATAAAAAAAAAAAAAAAATATATATATATTTTTTTTTTTTTAGTTTAGACAGTCATAGTACATCATAGACGGGAATATACTTGTCATGGTCATACAATTAAGTTTGTAAAACCGTGAACATATAAATTTTTATATTTAGTGACATTTTTATGCATATTTTCTCAAATGAGCTGCCAGTTCAAAATTTTATCAAAAATTCAACACACAATCATCAACAAAAATTAATTCTAACCAGGGGAGACCCAAGATAAGGGATATTAATAATTTTAAATAACGATAACACATCACCTGTGCTGATGGCAAACCAGCAAAAAGTCACAAATTCGGAAAAGACTGTGAAACGATCCCAGGTTCAAGAGTAGACATGAAAGATCATTTCTCATCCCTGACTGATTTATGGGGAAGTGCTTAAATCACGCCCTTTCATTTTGGATTGGATTGGATTGGATACCTTCAAAGTGTATTCTATCTTTCTGTAACATAACTTTACAATTGTGGTTGTCCAGAGACAGCACTTCATAACTTTCATTGGATTTATTTATTTTTTTAAATGTTTTCTTAATTTTATCACAGATCCCTGTGTGAATAAATACAAATCCCAATGCAAGTGCTTTCTCCTTCCACTATCTCTAAGCATGAGCCGTAAAATGTTTTTTACGATCGGCAACCGTTTTTCTGTAGATTGTTTCAGAACCAAAAGCGCAAGCTGCAATGTTTGGTAGGCTTTCATTTAATACTGCAAATATAATAGGCTGCGGAAAAGTGTTTAAAACTATTTAAAGAACCACTACAGGCACCCAGACCACTTCAGCTTAATGAAGTGGACTGGATGCCAGGTCCATGTAGGATTAACCCTTTTTGCTGTAAACATAGCAGTTTCAGAGAATACATGCCCATTCCTTAACCATTGGCACCTGCCGTCTACTGAGGGTTTTTATATTTTTATAAGGACAGGCATTTAGGCGATATGAGTAGCCCATTATATTCAATAACTAATCTTACTCATGAGCTACCTTGTTCCTCCGACAGTGTGATCATGCCTGGAAAAAGAAAAAAGGCCTCATTCCTGAGAAAAACCAGGGGAAGGACCAAAAAAACTAGATGAGACAGGAAAAGTATGAAATTCTAAGAAAAAGGAGATATATAGTCGGGAAAGGGTGAGCCAAGAGGAAGGGGGGGGCGGAAGCCCCCCTATGACAGCGTGATAATTATGTCCCTAGTGAGGAGCGTTTTTTTTTTTTTTTTTTTTTTTTTTTTTTTTTTTTTTTTTTTTTTTTTTTACTAATTCAGGACTGACACCCAAAAATCGGGCCCTGCCAGTCTCCGCTCGAACCCACTAAACTGTTGTCCCATGGTTCCCAAATTTTTTTGAATGCCGCTGTCGTCCCTCTTACCCTCTCTGTCAGGTCGTCCATAATTCTACATTCTCTGATCCTAGATATTACCCCCGGGAATTCTGGGCCCTCTGGTGAGAGCCATGCGCTCGCTATTGCACGGCGTGCGCTCAGTTATCTCATGTACTAATTTCTGTTCTCTCCTAGTCCTTCCCTCCATGATCTATTTAACAGGTAGATCCACGGGTCCATGCCCAGGGGCCGGTCAAACGTCTGTTTCACCAGATCCTCCACGGACCTCCAGAAGCTACGTAAGGGACAATCTTCTTATCAGTGGCCTGTATCCAATATAGCCAATGTCTTCAGCTCTTACCTCCTCCTAGAGCATCCATTGTGTGCATTTCTTTACTGGGTTTATACTTCTTGTGGTCCTTGACTGTAAAATAGGCTTTTTTGATTTTGTACTTTAAGTTCACAGATGTGCTGTTTGAAAAAACAAAATTTTGTTCGGTTACCCTTGAATGATTGGTGCCTCATGATATTTGGTAGATAGTTTACAACATTGTAGTGCTTGAAGAAAAATCTAGTTTTTGATTGTAATGCTCTTTTCGGCTTTGCCATCTTTACCTACTGCTCTTATATATCATGTGTTTTTTGTTTACCAATTGTACAGTCCTACGGCATATGTTGACACTATATTAGTAATAGTAACTGATGTTACACAAACCTTTTAGAGAATTCAGATAT